ATTAAAGATATTTATTCAAGTTTTTTTATGACTGAACCATTTTTAGCACCTAAACAATTACTTTGAATATCTCAATAAAATTAAATTATAATTTTTCTACCAGTAAGTTTCTTATTTTTGCCAGCAGTAATTAATTTATGACAGTTAACTATTTGGAGAGTAAGTTTTTAAGCAGTTAAAAAATAATGTCGAATATTAAAGGACGATTTTCCAGATTTTTTTTTATGTTACGTTTTTTAAGTAGAACTTTAAAACTTTCAGTTTGAATATTCTAAGTTTTTTGTTAGACTTAAACAAATTGGTTATACTGTTTTCTCGCCGTGTACCCGTGTATCCGCCTCCGTGTGCCACGTAAGTCAACCTGGAGCTGGGCCAAGATTTCCGCTCGTTGCGTGGCCAGGAATTTGAATTTGAACGCCAGACATTTGGGCGTTGCACGGTTGTAAATTCATTTGTTAAACGATGCGCTCATAAAATTTGCGCCCTTTTTTTTACGGCCCCAGAGAAGAGCTGGCTGAGTCTGAGACTGGGACTCAGGGCCAAAAGGCTGGAGGAAGTTGGCAACCGAAAGGGATGGCGGGACAACAGGACAACAGGAGGCGTGGCCGACTTCCATCTCTGGCAGATCTGGCAGCAGTGCCATTCTGGCTCAAACCCCCTTTACCCACCCCCCTTCGCTTTTTCCCCCCGAAGGCAGATAAAAAGTTCAACAGCAGCGCGATTTATTTGCCCGTCCTCTGCGCAGACACGGCGCCAGCTGAGCAACATTTTCTTCGTTTTTTTCGGCTGGCCAGGAGTTTAAGCCCGGCTAAAATTCTACTGTAATTATATGTCTCACACACACGGCACAGAATTGTGCGAGAAGAAATTTCAGCTAATTTGCCAACATTTAAATATACAAAAAGGGAACCTTCCTCAGCTCGTCCAGCTGCCCCTTAGAGCGTGTTAATTCGACATGTTTTCCGCCAGCGGACCAGGGACATCGGGACATCGGGGGACCCATTTAGGACTGAGTATTTGCACTGCCGCAAATCGCTCGAAAGGCTCGTGAAATTCATGTGGATTTCATGGAATAAAAACTCGCGTAAGAAACGTCAAATTGCAACACCTCGAGGGCAGATACAGATGCAGGGGCCCAGATATGGGGATACAGAAGAGAATCAGGGCCCAGAAGAACAGAATGGAGAATCGAGAATGGCGAATGGAGAGACCCCAGGCTCAGCCAAGTCCATAAGTCAGTGGGTCCAATCCCCGTCCCCTTGGCCCTCGTAATAATTGCGTATCTGGCAGATGCAATTTATCCGTGAATTTGTTTTTAATTTTCAACACATTCGCTAATTTGATTTTTAACTTCGTTTCGAGCACTGCCTCGGTCTCAATCACAGACAGCCACGGCCAAATTGCTGCACCTAATCGTGAGTATGAGGATGGTCTGGGCTTCGGGATGGGGGCCCCTGGATAGGACGAGTCCAACACCCGCTTTCATATATAATTTTGTGCAACTCACTTTGGCCCAGAGCTCTGAACTGAAAGAGCACTGTGAATAAATGTGTGATGTTTAGATTATTTTTGTATACCCATTAAGGGGGAAGATTTTAACATTCTACCATTCTATTCTACCAATTTATAAAAAAAAAAAAATTTTTCGGCAAGTATTTTTTCTTTTAACAATAATATTGATAATATTTATAATTTAAAAATTATTTTTAAAATCACGTTTATTTTAAAGGGATTCTGTATTCCAAATTAATTTTTTACAATGATTTTAAATTAATATTACATCCAGTTTTGGTCCATCAGAAACTTTTTTTCACTTTCATTAATTAATTTCTTACTTATTTGCAGAATTATTTCTTTTGATGTTGACTAGTGTAATCCCTTTAATTGCTATCAAAATTTAAAAAGCAATATCTGAATAATGATCGATGATTTTTTCGCTGTGCAAAGTCTGTTCCCAAGTACGAAGTGTTTTTCATCCGCCTCTCCCTGGGCTTTTTGTATCTTTTTTAGCTGCACGGGGCGCTGCTTGTTAGTCGCGTAATTTATGTTCCACCAGATACTCGTTGGCGTTGCTGGGACCAACGTGCCCTCCCCTCCGAGGACCTGGCAGGGATCCCGATCCGATCCTCCTCCGCCTTCTGCTCCTTCTGCTCCTCGTGGTGTCTCCGCTTGTCTCTGCTTATTTTCTTATCCGTTGTTATCCGCAGTACGAGTTGTTTGCGCAGGCGCAACCCAAGGGCCATGGGCAAAAAACGGAACGAAATAAAACTACAAATCGATTTTCAACGCAACGCGTTCGATGGCCTTATCCTTGGCTCCTTGGCAGCAAATGCACGGTGAGCGTGAAGGGATTAGGGTCTATTAGTGGTAAAGGCCAAATTGTCCAAGTCGTTTGGTTAGCAGATGAATTAGAGCCTTCTCAATCAAAGGATTTTTTAAAGGCCTTTTAATGAGAATTTAACATTTTTTTACCACATTTTAAAAGCATATTAAAAAAGTTGTTGAATAAATCCGAATTTTAAAATACATTTTAGAATTCATTCGGAATTTTAAGAATATTATTTACAGATTAATTTTAAGTGCAATTTTAATTGCAGAATGATAAACTTTAAAAGTAAAAACTTAAAACAATTATTGAAAATGGTTGACAATTACAATATAAGCAACAACAAATTAATATTTAAAGAACATATTTCTAAAACCTCATAAGAACATCAAAAAATGGTGAATTAAATTCCAGATTTCATTAAATAACATTCATTAATTACCGACTTCTGAGAAATGGAAATATGATAGCTGACTTTTCAAGAATCATAAGGTAATGGTGACCCATTAGGCTTCCCCTTGGTGACCTCATCAAAATGCCAGTTCCCGCTTCTTCTCCCACCGACCATCTTCATATACCCCTACACTTATTTTTTCCAAATCGCCCTGGCTCGATTGCCAATGACTTTTACCCGGCTACCACTGCCAGCCACTATAATCCACACCTTGGCTTTATGGCCAATAATTTTGCAGGCAACAAGAACATGAACCGGAAACATAACAAATCATAAATTAAACCCTCGTTAAGCGAACTTATTGCCATTGCTGGCCGACGCAGAGGTCTCGCCCATGCGCCATAACTGGCCAACTGAGACCGGTGGAGAAGCCCCGTTTTCCCCCTCTCTGGAGAAGTAAACCCCCCCGAATATCTGGGACTCTGGGACAAGAAAAGGAGTTCGAATTCTGCACTGCTGTTCTGCTTTTCTCCTCCACGGTCCGGAGTAATTTGCTTCATCTTTATGCCTTTCAGTGCGTGGCTGTGAGTTTTATTTTATGTTACTACTTGTTTAAATTATATTGCGCTATTAAGCGAATTTAATGAAAACGCTGCAAGGCCCCATTAAAAAGAGAGGCAGTTATAGGGTTTTGGGTTTTTTTTCTTTCTGTTGTTTTTGTTTTCTGGTCTCCTCGTTAGGTGTAAAATAAGGCCCAGCAAATCGAACGTGTTGAGGCTGATGGTGATGAAGATGATGATGATGATGATGATGGGTCTGGGGAGGATTGCCGGGGATTTCGCAGATACTCGCCAATTGTTTCGACCAGATCGAGGAGCAAAAACGCGATAAAGATAAAAATCCCGGGGACAATCAGTGGACATGCCGCACAAATTGCGCTTAATCCATTGGCATTTCATTATTAAGCAATTTCGCAGCAAACGGCAGAAAAACCGAAAATCCGCTCAACGCTCTCGGGGCAATTTAAATTTTTATGCAATTTGTACAAAAATGCTGTTATTCTTGCGCAAAAGTAGCATAATTATTTCCGAGAAACTGAAACGGTCGCAGGCAGAAAAGACGATGAACCGAAAAAAAAGCGCGCTTGTCAACCAAAATCATTGCAGACGACACATTATCCTCACGGCAAAACGATGCTAATCCATCACGAACCCTCAAGCTCAAGCCTCGCGTTTTTTTAGCCCAAGTCCAGGGTAAAGTTTAACTTACACAGAGAAAAAGGAAGGGCAGAGCTAAAAATAAAGTGACGAATAAATTGAAAGGTAAATTTGTCTTTAAAGCACATAATTTAAAGCATCACAAGAATTTTAAGAGCTTTAAATGTGTTATTTAAAAAAATTATATAAATTAACTAAACAATTTAAAGTAAAAATTAATTTAAGAAAAATACTAAAAGAAGCTTGTTTTAAAATAAACTGCATTTTAAAATCTTTGCTTGGAGTTAAAATACAGGAAAAATACAGAAATCAAAATAATGAGAAGTAAATTAATATAAATTTTAAGTAGTCTATGTAAAGACTAATATTTTTAAGTAACTGGTATGAAATGTTATATTATGTTTTAAAATACAGATATAATTAAATAATATAATTAAAAAACACTCTTCGTTACAAGTTTTCTTATTACGAAAGTTATCCCTTACATCCATTTCTTCATCTAAGTTGCCGTTTTTTCCCCCAGTGCACGAGCAGCAGACGAAATGTCACTTAAGCATGTGAATGGCAGGCGAGAATCGAGATTCGCGGACGGATTCCTTTCGCTGGGCTAACCAAGTGCGATCAGAGAGATCAGAGATCGGTTATGAGATCAAAACAAAAGAGCTCTTACCGTAAACGAGGCCGTACCGTCGAACAAACAGAAACCCAAACTCCAAACCCCAGAGCCAAATCACGACGCACAGTCTGGCAAGACGATTGTTGGTCGATCGGTGAATTATGCGCGACATCATTTTAAATCGTTGTAGCAACGTCAAAGCTAAACACCGATCAGGTCAGATCCAAGGCAAAAAGAAGAAGGTTTTAAGAAAAAAATACAAGTCAGTCAGAATCGGAGGCAGACTGGGATCCCGATCCCGATCCCGATCCCAATCCCTTGTCCATTGTCTTTGGGTAGCAGCCGCCCTAATTGATGCAGCACGGCCATAAATTTTGATCGGCCAACGATCCCCAGCCTGCTCCCCTTGCAGCTGCCAAAGGGGTTCCAGAGATTGCCATGAATACATCAAGAGGAGAACTCTTTTATTTCCCTCAAATCCATGTTTTCGTCCGACTCAAAATCGGATTCCGCAACTTCTTCAGGTTCTTCCGATTCCTCTGATCCCGAATTTACCACCCCAAGTCCGGCGAACGACAGGGAGTACTCCACCTCGCGATGCTCATCGGGATTGTGGTACATCCCCAGGAATCCCTCCACCAGCTCATGTTTGGCCACCTCAACGGGATCGTCCACAAAGAGAATGGTTTGCTTCAGATAAGTGCGAGGCTTCTTGGGACCCGTGGAAAACAAACGCCTGTATTTGCCCATCGGTCGGGAGAATCCAATGTCGGAATAGAGAACGACAGCTCCCAGTGGACTGTCCTTTAGACCCCTGAGTTTAAAGGGAAGCCTGAAATTTTCATCATTTATGTGGGCGGTGCAAATATCGATTGACTTCAAGAGGAACTTCTGGGTGACTTGCTGCTCCTCTAGCACATAGTCCTCTATCAGACGCACTGGTTCCTTGACCATATAACTCCGGCCGGGATAATCCGTCTGGGGCAGGATATTCACCTCGATGGTCTCTCGCCGATGTTCGGCAATTCCGCAGACAAAAAGCTGAGCCACATTGGGAATAATAAGACCGCCCTTCACAAGCCATTTTTCTCGGGCGTAGACCACCTCCTTGAAAAGAGAGTCCACGAAAACTGAGTGACTGCAAAAAACATTTTTAAACATTTTACATTATTAAATATTAAATTTTAAAAAGAAATACCTACCCTATCCACTCGGACACTATGATATCCACTTGTTTCAGACCGCAGGGCATCACTATCTCATTAATATCGCCCTCGACAAACTCAAAAATGTCCTCCTTTTCGCTATTGAAAATGGCTTTCCTAACACAGTCGGCACTTTCTCTATTGCCCACAGCTATGACCTTGACTGCACCCGCCTCCACGCTCATCAGGCTGAGTAATCCACTGCGACAACCCACGTCCAAAACTATCTGCAATTAATGTTCGGCAAATAGTATGTTTTGGGCAACACTACGACCTTTTACCTTATCCTTAAAGTTCCTTTCATATCGCTTGAATACCCATTCGTATGCCCTAGAGGAAATAACATCATTCAGCATCCCATCCGCCATGTCCCTCAGAATGTCCTTTTCCATATCCATATGTTAATTATATTTTTAATAATAAACTGTTCTAAATGTCACACTTTGATTAACTTTGCTTGATTACTATATTCAGTGACAAAAATTACATTTCTTACCTAAGTTTTCTATCTTAAAATAATTTATAAAAATACTTTAAAAATATTAAAATGTAAAAGCGCCTTTTATAATATTGTTATAGTCTCTATTTTTAGAATATCATAGTCTCATAAACATCCAATGAAGATAAATAAGAAAGAAAACTACAGTACCTATCCTTCAAAGATTATATTATAAAATTATATAGTATTCAACATTAAAATACTAATTATTTCATTTCCCTCACTACAACCCAAAACCACAGTAAAATTGGACTGCAAGTAATCCTGGTATCACATTTCTTGGTCCAATCAGGCAACATAAATTCCGAATAGATTATCGCCCGACATTTCTCAGGGTTCCCTCTTTCCAGGCGTTATCGCCGGGGCGGGTGACAACAATTAGTTATGAGCCAATTGTGGGATCGGTCCCTCTTATCAGCGGGAGCAGCGTCAGGATATTCCACGTTCCGAAATCAGGGGTACAGCGGGTTAAGCTGTCTAACGAGTCTCTAATTTATAGGTGACTTGGTGCGCAGTGTCCCGCGCTCCGTTGACAAATGCCAGCAATTTGATACCCGAACAACATGAACGAGGAGTAGAAATGGGACGGGGTTAGACCCCTTTGGGTCTTTGAGAGTGGATACAAATTGAAACGTTTGCTGGGCCTACGCTTGGCTGTCTGGCTGACTGTCTGGCGAGGATCGGATCCATCTGGGTGCTGTTTTTGTCTGGGACTTTGTTAATGCGCCCAGCGGGATCTGTTCGTCGGGGGATGCGAACAAGTGTTGACCGAAAATCAAAGATCGCTGGCTCATTTGTGGCGCTTTTGTGCGCGCGCTAGATAGCCAATATTTTATAATCATGTCCAATAATGGTGTGCATATTAATTTCATGGGCGCATAAAGCAACTTTATGGCCTTTTAAGAACTGCCATTAACAATGCCCAGTTCAGTCCGTGCACAAACACAAAACGAGCTGACAAGAGATTTTTGGAATTTTTTTTTGGATTTTTGGACAACCTCTCGAAGAACGGAGACCTCGAAAACGGAGACAATGCAAATGGCTAAAATAGTAAATAGAGTTATAAACGCATAAAAGGCGTTCATTGTGGGCCCACGGCGTTGGCTTTCACAAATTTATACGACGGGCCATCAATTAATTAGAGGCGGAGAGCGACACATTTTCACATTCGACCTGGCTTTGAAATTAATTTGTTAAGAAAGTCGTTAACATTTCGGCTGTCCACTTTCTAAGCCTTCTGCTGCGGATTGATTGCCCAAAAACCCTCCGGCACTTGACGACCCTCGATTAACGACCCATTTTATGACAGTTATCAATTCGGTTCAAGTTTTTCTTTTTTTTTATGATCCAAGCTCTAATCAAGGCGTAATCCCGTTGAGCTGAAGCTCTTGAAGCTCTCCACCCGCGTTCGATCGCCCCGGAAGCTGATGTTGAGGTCAAAGTTCATGGAGCGCCCGTCCAGCTTACTGGGCCTCATGGCCAGGACACCGCTCACCCGATCATTGGCCCGCACGAAGAGCGGTTCGTCCAGGTGGAGGAGGGTCTGCTCCCAGTGTGTCCAAGGCGACCGCGGTGAAGTGGACAGGATCACGGGCTTGCCCTCCGATTTCCCACTCACCGGAAAAGCCACTTCGAAGTAGAGAACTAGCATATTGATGATTCCCGCTCGCTGCACTGTCAGCAGGAAATTCGAGCGAAAGACCACCGGTTGATTGCGATCCAAACCCAAGTGGGTGGAGTGTATGAAGCACTCGTCGGTGAGCAGCTGCTGAATGGCTACACAATCCACCAGAGGCTCCCGGGAGAACTGCTTCCTCACGCAACTCATATCGATGCCCTCGACATTCTGCCAAAAGTTGAGATTGGCCAACCTGTGCGGATCCTGGGCTCCCACCAGCCAGAGGTTGCCGATGCTGGGCAGGATTAGACCGCCACGGGTGAGCCACTTATCCCGGGCAAACAGCACTGAATTGAGCATGGCTTCCATATAGAGAGCGTTGCTAAAAATATTTTAAGAATATTTATATCAATTAATTTTTAATTTATCTAAATTATAATCTCACCCCATCCACTCGGAGACTATGATGTCCACCTGCTGGAGGCCCTCGGGCAGTTCCACCTGCTCCACCAAACCCTTGACCACCTTCACCACGTCCTCCTTCTGATTGTCCCTCACTATCTCCTTGGCTATATCCGCTATATCCGTGCACTCGATGGCTATAACCTTTCTGGCTCCTGCCTCGGCGGCGAAGAGGGAGAGTATCCCTGTGCCACAGCCCACATCCAGGACGATCTTGTCCTGGAAGAGCTTGCGATTCTGCAGGATGGCATCGCGAAAGGCCTGGGTGCGCACCGAATCCCTCAGCATGGCCATGTGGATCTCCAATCGGGAGTAGGACTGGAAATATTCGCTATCCCGATCTGGCAGACTTTGCGACCTTTGATTCGACAGAATTAGATGATCCCAAGACATGTCAAAAATTCACCAGTTTTCAGAGGTTTTCACCAGTTTAAGTTAATAAAACTAGCTGTGATCCAATTGAAAAGTGACGGAAACTAAAGGAAACCACATGCGATCGAAAATACATGGCTATCATGTGACTTAAACTATAAAACGAATATTATGGCTTATAAAGATTAGTTTTTAGATCGATTTTTAGGCTATATTTTAAATATTAACCAAACGATCTGAAATTCCATCACAAGCCACGGGCCACAAAATAAATCTATAAAAATTGGGAATAACCACCATAAAGTTTGCGAACAATACTACGTCATTCTATCGCCGTTATTAGCATCTGAATGGCCGAAACCAGATAAATCAATTTTTGCATTTAATGGACCCATTAAAAACGCCAAAAAATCGCCCCCCACTCAAAAGTCCGTGAAAGAAATGTGCCGCCAACACCTTAACACCACAGCCATAACTCGCTTAATCCGCCCAGCCCCGAATTTATTTTTATGGCCAAATTTAATGATTCCCCTCACTCCTCGTTGCTCCTCCATCGAGCACTTTCACTGGGGAGCCCAAAAATAAATACAAGCAAATTGTGCAACTCGTGCTCAACGGTAAAAGCAAATTGTTTTAATTAAAAGACGGAAAAATGCCCGTCATAATTTTTCAAGTGTCATAAAAATATCTCCATAAGCAGACGCGACTATTAAATTGGCTCATTAATCAATTTAGTCACAGAGCAACAATAAAAAGGAGCACACACATTCGAGCATAATAAACTATAATTTTTAATGTTGCTAAATTTTATGCTAATTTGCCATTTCTGGCGTTCCATAATTAGGCCCGCTCCCCAGGCAGGGGGTCGTTTTTTCTGTGTTTTCGATACCCGATTGCGTTTGGGGACCCGGCTTTAAAAACCTATAAAACTTTTGGCACAAATCAATTAAAAAGCGACGTAAGTTTCCATTAGTGCGCCGGTTCGTCGTGTTCCCAATGAGAATGCCACCCACTGAGGCGATTAAAATGCGACGATGCTTTGCATACTGAATGCGGCATTGATGATGATGTCGTCTTCTGACATACCCACTTGGAGCCCATTTGTCGCGTATTACCAAATGTTCGACATCGGCGACATATTGTGCGCGGTGTGGGAGGCCGAAAGCCAACCCACCTCTATTTTCGATTTTCACCTGCTGACCCACAAGCCAAAGGCCATAAAAATCTGAATTTAATGACATAACCTCAATTGGAATTTTTTTAATCGGGGAGAGTTGAGTTTTCATATTAATTAACATTTATTTTAAAGATATGAGGTTCCAAATAAATTAAGAAAGTGTTTCATTATAAGCAGAACTATTGACTAATGACAAAAACCTTTTAAAAAACAAATACAATTTTTTATGAAAAATAAAAAAATTTTGAATAATAACAATAATGTATTTAATCAAAGCTGAGATTCATTTCCCAACTGACAGCAAATCAAATTGCAACCACAGTTAAAAGAACAATCAAGGGGTGGCTGAAAATGACTGGGGAGGGTCGATTGTAATCAACCACTTCATCAAAAACAAATAATAACATGTGCTCACTGAATGCCCGACAAGGGTCCTCAAAAGGATCAGACAACCGGGGGGTTGATTGGCCTATCATAATCGTTTTAATAGAGAGTGAACACTAGTCAAACAATGGGCTATGGTTTTCAATGATGGCATTCATAGAGTTGATAGAACAGAAATCCTGAACCCCTATTTTGCTGCCCAGTGTAACTTTCATTTGATCAATCAGTCATCGATTAACCAACGAAACCAATCCCCATTCCGTCCCAATTTCAGAATCCCATCGACTTTCGGGTGTTAACGATGAGGCAATTTGATTTTAACGGAGCTGCCAATATCGCATCCCCTCCCCTCTTCACACCCTTCTCTTCTTAACGCGGCCGAAAAAAATTAATTGCTGGTTGTGCAAAAGTTTGATTGATGCACTTGGTTTGGCAAAGGAATAAATAAAATTTCTGACACTTGGGAATTTTAATTAGAATGCCTTTGTTTCGGATCTCGAACCGCGGACCACGCCAAACTGGCTGGCTGATGAAGTCGTTTCGATAAAATGCAAAAATTTTGCACCACCCCGCGCCATTTCCTTCGGCTCTCCACCATTACATTTCCCTTATGTGTCTTGTTTATTGTTGTGTTGTTTTCCAAAACGATAGTGGTGACGGTTTTTCCAAGGGTTTTTAATTATTTTTCAAAATAATAAATATAAATAATAATTTTTGTATTTTAGCTTTAAAACAAAAACATCATATGAAAAAAAGTTTTAAGTGCTTTAAACTATATTTTAGCGCCAGAATAATGTATGAATATTTAAAAAAAATGTTAAGAAAACCGTTATAAAAATTTAAAAAATCTTTAAAATTATTGTAACAATTTTTAAATTATTTTTAGATTTCCTAATAAATATTTGACACTCTTATTTAATAATAAAAATTATTAAAAAGCCATTAAACAACCTACAAAAATGCAAAAAGTGATTTTTAACATTATTAAATTCATAAAATTTATTAAAAAAATTTATTTTTTTTTGTGATATTTTAAAATGCTGAATTTCCAAATACTCTTTATAAAAATTGTACCTTTTCGAATAAAGCCAGATTTAAGCTACAGTCAAAAGCTGAATCGCCAACTCAGGTATGCGAATTGTTTGCCAATTAGCGCCCCCTGGCAGCTTGTAGACTCACGATTTCTGAGCGGCTGATAAATTAGCGAAATTTTAATTTGATTTCCTTCACAAATTTCCGCCGAACTGGGTAGCTGGCGGTGGATGGCTGCGAGTGGCTGAGAGTCGGAGTGTCTGGCCAAGTGGACACAGAAGCCGAGGCAGCAAATAAACCAAGTGAATTTATGGCCCCAGGGCAGGAGCACGAGCACACGTGTGCGACATGCCCACACATTGACACCTACCAATAAGCAACTATCAACTACCGACTACTCGAACCATCCAATAACCGACTAAACCACACTCCAATAGGGCTGCAGGTCCCTTGGCGCGTTTTGGATCAGATCAACTCGACTGTGTATGGTTTGGTTGGGTTGCTGGCTTTTTTTGTTTATGCTGGGCAGGCACAAACGAGCTGACAGTGCCCCATGTCAGGGCGACGGTACGTGCGGCCAAACAAATTACAGGGAAATTGCGTCACCTGCAGGAATTTCCACTCAGCATTGTCAAATGCCATCAGAAATCGTTGGACATGTTGTAACATTAATTTGACATTTTACGGCCCAGGACAGGGATCCTCGGGAGGGGGTAACCGTATATCCATATGCATATCGGTCGGAGGACTCCTTAACAATCTGGCCCCAGACCGCAGAACAACACAGGACAACGATTAACCCCCTGGCAGACAGCTGTTCAACGGGCCAAGGATGCTGGAGCCACCAAGGGATCTTGCAGCAGCATCTCCCAAGCACTTGGAAAAATATTAGGTATTTACAAGATGCTCATTACATGTTTTAGCAAAAGGGAACGTTATAGTCGGATTCCCCGACTATCAGATACCCGTTACTCAGGTAAAGGGAGTGCGAGGGAGATGGAGATAGAGATAGAAAACGTTGATCACGCATAACTTTTTAACGAATGGTCCGATTTGAAAAATTTCTTCTACATTTCGATAGATATTGATAAACACAATAAAACTGCATTTTTACTTTTCCAAAATATTAAAATTTTTAAAATCGTATATAAGCGATTGTGGGCGTTAGAGGGGGCGTGGCACCATTTTGAAACAAACTTGCGCTGCGTAGGAACTCCTAAAATCTGCATGCAAAATGCCAATCTTCTAGCTTTTATAGTTTCTGAGATCTCAGCGTTCATACAGACAGACAGACGGACAGACGGACAGACGGACATGGCTAGATCGACTCGGCTAGTGATCCTGATCAAGAATATATATACTTTATGGGGTCGGAAACGCTTCCTTCTCCCTGTTACATACTTTTGCACGAATACAATATACCCTTTTACTCTACGAGTAACGGGTATAAAAATCTGTAGTACAAATAATCCTGAAGAATTCGCAGATTCTGTAGTAGTAAAAATAATCCTGTAGAATTCGCGGATTCCCTTTGCTTTTTTCATTGCTAGCTTTCTTCTAGTTAATTTAATAAAATTCTATGCGTTTTAATCTATGAATTATATGAATCTAAAGATCAAGGACCTAGTACTATATTTTCCTTAGTGCATTTCGGATGCAGCTCCTGGCGTTTCGCTCTGCCAGCTGCTGCAATCTGTTGGAGCTGTGCAAAAACATTTTTCTGGCATTAAAACAAATTGATGCGGTCGGGAAATCTCATTGCCGGCTTAGTGAATCTGATTTGCGGTCATCGGTCGTCCTCTCGTTAACCCAGATACAGATTTCCGTACTTGGCTTCACAGATGCCCGGCTGCTGCGATTAATTTGCTGCGGTGGCGATAATTTGTTAATCGAAGCATCCTCATCGCAGCTTGTACTCAGGCCTCATTCTCCTCCTCCAGTTGCAGCATTGTCCAATTAAATCTGCCGAAAGTAGGGTGGGAACCTGGGTTGCTGTTGACTCTGCTGCCCGGCTTGTTGGTTTAACGGCCGACGTTCTTTTACGACGGCATTTAGCTAAACTATCCAGCGAACGCCTCTGGGGAGACTCATCTCGGGGGTGGTTGGCTGTCTTCAATGCTGATGGTGCAGCATTTAATGCGGAAACGTGCCCCAAGTCGAGCTTCGATTAGCGACTGACTTGGATGATGTGTGGAGGTCAGCAGTGGAGGATCACGCAGCAGCCATTATGGCCAAAGGCACGCCCACGCCTCCTTAATGGCCCGCCAATTCCCGAAATCCATTTCGGTTGGGCAAAATCTTGCTGCGTCCTAAAAAACGGTTGCTTTAATTTCGGCTACCCTGTTTTAAAATACCTTTAAATGATAACTGAAATTCATGTTTATAAAGAACTTTAATTCTGATACAAAAAAAAGACAAAAATTGAGAATGAAAAAAAAACATGGCTTTCAATTTCCTCTTATCATTTGTCATGAAAACATTGTTTAGAATATATTGAATATTAATCTCTTCGTTGGTAATAACTTACATTATGAAGTTTTTTAAGCTTTAACTAACATGTAACAAAAAATAGTAACTTAATTTGCTTATTTAGAATGATTAACAAAAACCTCTTTCCAATATAACATTTGGTACGTTTATATTGAATACCAATATCTAAGTACAGAAAAAAAAGAATTTGTAGTTTAACAACGCTTATGAAAACTAAAGATCTTTTCATTTTGAAATAATAATATTTGATATTCTTTTTGTATGCTTTCTTTTTGAAAAGAAACTTTTCTAAGCAAGATATAAAGATATAAAAAAGAAGAGTTACTAATACAAAAAAATTAGACATAATTGGAACAAATATAAATCCAAAGTACATTTGAATAGTTATCTAGTCTAACAAAATGTCACCAAAGAAACATAATAAAGCTGTGCTTATAATATAAACCTTGTAACAAAAATGATCTCTTCAAAGTTTAGCGAACGCTGGTCTATGAATTTTTCAACAGCGTCGGCGACAACAGGACAAATTTAAGGGCTGATCCACGAAATACATATCCTCCACTCTCTCGCTTTCCGGATTCTGATCCTCTTTACTGCGTGAATACTCTTCCAAATCCTCCAACATGTGCATTAGTTCCTGCACATCTTTGTCAAGCCGATCTTTTGAAATCCGCTCCTGCTCTCGTAAGTCTTCTAGTTCTGCCGAGTTCAGACCATCCAGCTGAGGCATTGGGAAATCTGGCGTTACCAAGGGATCTTTGGAAGTTTTTACCTCTACATGCTGCTTCTCTGGCTGATCCTTCGAGTCCAACTCTTTTGAAACTTTCACTTCTTTCGAGTATAAACCATCCTCCAGCTGAGGCATTAGGAAATCTGGCGTTACCAACGGATCACTGGATGTTTTCCCATCTCCATCCTGCTTCTCCGGCTGATCCTTCGAGTCCAAACAGTTGGAAACTCTCTTTTTTGAAACCAGTTCCTGATCCTTTGGGGTTTTCCTCTTTAAGCGCCGATTTCGCTTAACCATCGAATCCAACTTATTTGATTTTAGAGCAGACAACTGAGCCATTGCGTACTGCTGTTCGGAGTCCTGCTCCTTTGGCTGATTCTCGGACTCCTGACCCTCTAAATTCTGCTCCACCAACTGCTTCTCTGGTTCGTTCTTTGATTCCAGCTCCCCTGAGTTCAGATCCTCCAGCGGATCCTGCGCGACCTGCTCCGTTGAGTCATTCTCCTCCACCAGCTGGTTCATCCACTCCTCCTCTTGGGCATCCTTCTCCTGCATCTCCTGCCGATTGCCTCCATCATCTGCCACCGGGTAGTCCATGCTCAGATCCTCGACATTGACGCATTGACCCTTATTTATGGCCACCTGCTGGTAGTAGCCGTAATCCGTCTCTGGATTGGCGAATGCCTGGCGAGCGTGCAGCATGGCGCCCTTGAAATCCGGACTACAGACGTGGCCCTTGGACCGAATCACGCCCAGGCGACGCTGGTTCTTCTCGAAGTCGCAGATCTGGTCGCGCGGCACCTTGGCGTGGTTGCAGGTCCCATAGAAGTACACGTTGTAGCACCTGGAACCGACGCGGTCCAGGATGCGGGCTGGCCAGGCTCGGTAGCCGCGCACCTTGGCGAACACAAAGTCGCCGATCGTGAAGAGCGGCATCCGGGCACGTTGACGTCCCATCTTTCGCACTTTATTTCTTTTATTTTGGTGGGAAAATCGAATTTAAGAAGCGTTGTTTTTCAAAGTTTGTGGGGGCGGCAAGAAGAAGAGACAAATGTTCGTTTTCCTGGAATATGGTTGGGGTTGCCAGATCGCTGGAGGGTTGCGCGCCAAAAATTTGGTTAGTGTTGAATAACGTCGAATTTCCAAGGTTTCAGGTGAAATCTCTACACCTTTTCAAAAAACCAACTTTTTTAAACATTGCTTAAAAATAAATTAACAATCGTTGAAGAGCATTTTTGTTGACGGTTGACTTAAAAAGAGAATTAAACAATAGTTCTGTAAAAAGTAAAACAACAATGTTTGTATTTTAGAAAACGCATTGAAAATTTTTTATTTTGTTACCAAAATAAGTTTTGAATTTATATGGCTTAGAAATAAAAACATCTACATTTTTCATTTCTACATCCGAAACAAATCAAAAATAACTAAACTGTGGCCACTGTTCAAAAATATTCAGACAAACCAACCCATTCGAATGGCCAACGAATTTGGGTCATTTGGGTGGGCGGGCAATGTTTCTTTAATGAGCAAACAGCATTTGCATTAATGGTCATTTGCGTAGAAATTTGCACAACACGCTACCTGCACTTGGCTTCTTTTTCCTTTTTATTTCCATTTTATTCTCCGCCTTTGTGCGTGTGCAGTTCTGTTTTAAATTTTCGCTCACGTTCGTCGTATTATGCGCAAATTGGCTTTTTAAATTGTCGACTTGTTTAAGCTAAACGCAGCTACACTTTATGGCCATGTTCCGTGCTGCATTTAAAGCCATGCGAAATTCCACTAAGCCCTGCCATTCGCCCTCCATTCGCTTAACTCAATTATAATAATTTTAATTTAGCACAAGCAGGGTCTATAAAAATGGCAAAATTGCATTATTTACCAGGCGTAATTACAACAATATTTATATGCTAATGAGCCCGTCACTTGGCGGCATTAATGCCATAACGATGGGAAATTAAGCAGATCGCAGTTATGGAAAAAAGGGGGTTTCACGTTTTCCTTGGCCAACCATTTTCATTTCGGTCGACTGTCAGTGCTCAGAATTCAATTGGAAAATGCAATTTACGATCCGGCCACGAGACCCACAACACTAATACCCGGCAGCCCCATTCCCCCATCTCACCTCCCCGAATTTTCCTGCATTTTCCTGCACATTAAGTCAACCGAAGGCTGAAGGCGGCACGGGGGCATAAGCTTACGCATGTAATTTGTAAGTAATTTTTTCAACTATCATCGGACCAGACAACGACAGCCCCAGCGACGATGGCCACGCACTTTATACTCAGAGAAAATTATTGGGAAGTACTGGATATTAGGAAAGAATATCTTATCTATGAAAAACTTAGAATTACCATTTTAATTCAATATTTTCTGCCAAATAAAATTTATGGGGGTGCTACAGAAATAGTTAACTTTTTGAAATCACTAAAAGAGGTGTCTAAAAGTATGCAACAATATATTTTTAAATCAAAAAGGATATGAATTGATACAGGAAGACGACTATTATTTATTCACTGCATACTTTTTGAAATATATGTATTTTAATATTTAAAATTGATTTTAAAAAACCAACTATTTCTGTAGAACCCCCTATGACTTTATATTTAATTTAAAAAACTATTTTTAGTTAAACATAAAATATTCTATTTAAATTACATGAGATAAAATGGCTAAAAATATAAACCTATATAAAAAACATTTTATAAATTTCTGTTATAATTATTTATTTACATATAATTTTTTTCTGTGCAATCCCGAAATGCATTACAATTACAGGGGATCAAGGGGAGTAGAAAGCCAGGCCAACAGGCACAAGCCAGCGCGTTAAGTTGGAAAAATTAAGTAACGAAAGCAGTGAATAGGATTGGGAATAGGAATAGACATAGAAATAAGCACCAGAATAGGGAATGGCAATGGCCATGGCCAACGACAGGCAGGCATAAATTATGAATCATTTGGACGCTTCCTTATGACACAAAAAGCCAGAAGAAGAAGCCATCTAAGCCGAGTTTTTTTTTCATTTTTGAAGGAGTTGCAGCTTTGCTATGGGGAGTACTGAGTGCCGAGTGATTAACTCAAGACGACTACAGGCGACTAACAAGTATTTATGCTACCCATCTGCGACTCAGTTTGTGCCATTTTATTGGCTTCATTGACTGGAAATGGTCAGCAGTCAGCAGCATCGGCAAATTGGCCAGATTGTTTACCTTATGTTTAGCCAAATGCTAATTGAAATGTCTGCATTGCGGCTGCATTGTGATTTCCCACTGCACTCGATGCATCGATTCGATGGGTGTGTCCCTCTCTAAATGGCAACTGGGGACATGCAATCAAAACTGGGGAAATCGGGCAATGCCATCAGGTTCGAGATCGGGCTCATCAACAGGTTTTCGCGGAGGAAAGGCAATGGGGCTAATGAATGGCTGCGTTCGCTAATTGTGCTGCACAGAAACGAGTTAAACGGGAACATGGGAGGCAATCAAAATCAGTTAGGCGATAACCAGATGAATCTTAACTAGGAAATAAAATCACACCTTTATTTTCATAATAAGTGTGGAGCCAGGAAAAATCATAGCCAGTATTTAGGAGTATTTATTTTTTTGTTATTTAAACGTTTGGAAGATCTCAGATATAACAAATTACAAGATTAATTAAAGTATTCAATTAAAAAATATGTTTTAACAAAATAATAAAATAATTAAATATTTAAATCTGTATTATTTTTCAAAATAATGCAATTATGTATTTAATGAAGCCTAGTAAATATAAAAATATAGATACAAAATTATACGATTGATTAAAGTACTAAACTCATTTTAACAATGTTAATAAAATTAGAAAATATTTGAATTATGTATTTAATGAATTTAGTTTTTCTATGGGTAATTATGAACGTAAAAAAAATACATTATAGTCCAAACATAGATTTCCCTATTGCAAAAACTCCACCTTTCAACTGCCTTGCCAGGCACCGCTGAACAAAAGACTTAAGACACGAACTCGACCACCCGATGCCCATTTCCTGCAACACTCGCACATCGATTGTTTGCATACATAATTCGCCAAGAGCCGCAGTCAATTAAGTGGCTCTCTAATTAAGTGATTAAAACGCACGCACAAACACCAGGGAACACAACTGTGGAAAATTGTGAAAATATGCAAGTTCATAAAACAAAGCCGCACGCCTCAGCAGCTGGCAGTTGAGTCCACACCCGCAATTTTATAAGAAAAAAAGAAGGGGGGGCGGGGTGCTTTTGCAGCTTTTCCAGGAACAAACACGCTTTTGCATTTTAATGCGGCACAAATGAGGCGGCGAGGCGAACCAGGCCATATGGATAAATATGTGAATGTGGTCGATGGGGTGTGAGTCGAGTCGAGTGGATACTCACGCACACACACCGGCTTGTTTCTAGCTAATAAATGTTTTTTTAATGAATAAATCACTCAGCGATAAACATCTGCTTAATAACGTTCATTTAAAGAAGCGAAAACAAAACACACAACGGCGCGAAGAAAGCCAAGCTGAGCGGAAAACCAAACACAAAGCCAGCCAAGTTCCAGCACCAATGAGTTGGCGTTGATTTCACACATTTAACTCTTTAAGCCCAATAGAGAAACTTTGAATGATTGCGCCCAGCAACGCAATCTTAGCGACCAAGAAAGAGAAATGCCCGAAATACACCTATGTCTTATTGCCAAACTGTTAGCAGAGCCTGAAAATGCAACTGCCAAAGGTCTAGTTAATTGTGATTGTTGTTAAAGAAAATAATTAAATTTTATTCCGAATTTTTAATAACAAGAAAACCTAAGGGCTGTGTCTTTTATTACTTAAACGGTATTTACGTATTCGATTGAAAATGCTTCAAAATCCATACCTATGTAATTTTAAATTTTACATAGATATTTTATCTGTTTTTTGGGCCATTTTAAATTAAAGGAAGCTTTAACTTTTATTTCCCATACGATTTCAAGGTTTTAACCTTATTTTAAATTTAACAGAGGAACGAGAAAACGGCACTTAGCTTAATAAATCTATTTAAAAGTACAATTTTTACAAAAATAAATTTGTAGATTAAATTATAAGCAAGGTATACAAATTTTTATCATAACTAAAAAGTTCATGTGGTGTTTCTAAATATCCAAAAATATAATAAGATTTTATACTTATGGCGTATTATCTTTAGGTGCTTTTAATTATTTATTTATTTTATTATTTTTGTATTGTTATTTGTTTGCAGGGGTTTTTTATAACTATTATGATTTATAGCTGTATTATTTTTATTATTATTTTTCCCGCTGCTGTGAACACCCATGGCCTTGTCTGCTGGCTGTCTGCAAGTGCCACAGAATTTATTTCGTACGTCTTCTTCATGTCCATGTCCAATCCAACTTGATGGCGAGCACAGCTGACATATGCGAATAGCTCCGCTCCGCTCAGCTTCGATATGAAAATTAATAATTCCCTGGTAGTTTTCGTATGCCGGGCACATTCCGAGTCCAGACGGACTTGCGTACTTGCTACCTGGGAAACTGGTAAACGTGTTCTCAGCATTGTCCACTGGGGCAATCATCAATGTCAATTAAATGTTAAAATGTTGGAGGCCATTCGCGGGAGTTCGAGCAGGATGCGGATTGCGGATGACCCAGGAAAATTCCACGATTGCAGATGCAGATGAAGCCGTCTCCGCCCCAAATTCATTACTTCGCCCGCCCACTCGACGGGTGAATCCCTATAGCTATCCCAGTTACAATCCCACTCCCACTCCCGCCCCGCGGGTCATAAATCTACGCCTCCAAATCTACATATTAACGCCAGCAAAGGGGCCACTCAATGCCAACGGACAGCGCCAACGATCACTTACTTTATGATCACTTGAAAACCAATCAAGCACAATAAATAATCGCTCTGCAGCAGGGACAAGCTGCGATATTGAAAATCGCGCACCCAGATGGGCAGCCAAACTGCAGGACTGCGACTCACTCGTACACATTAAATTATATTCACACTTTGGCCCCCAGAAAATGAAATGGTTTTAAATACGGAGGAAAGCCAAACAAGACGGAGATCGCATTGGAGATCAGCAAACAGCTCAGACGGAGCAAAAGGCACAGAGAAAAAAATAGTTTTTCTTTATAATAAATATTTTATAATAATACAGATTTCAGGAGTAATCAAAGGTTTAAAAATATTCAGTACCTACTATTTTGTATTTTATAGTTTTACAAATTCCAAGAATATTCAAAGGTTTAAAAAAAAATAGAGTACTTTTTCTTTAAATAAATCTTATTAGAATACAAATATTTTGGGTTGACCCATAAAATTGTTGGAAATTTAAAGCAATACCTGAAAATAAACACTAAATTATAATAACTAATACAATGAAATAAAATAATAAATTCTACAATACTAACAAATTTTCAAAAGTTCTCGTACATAAAGAGTCAAATTTTAGATTTTTATTTTAAAATATGTTTAAAAAGCTCATTAAAGATTTCTAATAATTTTTCAAGTAAAATATTTGTATGAAAATACTTCAATACATACTTTCAGTGCAGAAGGCAGGATGCGTTATGGCCAGACAGTTGGACACTTGGACATGGAAAGAGGTGGGACCGAGGATGAGGATGGTCATAAGACCTGGGCCTGAAACGATCTCTCTCCCTGGGCCAGGGTTTCTTTTTGTGTTCCTGCCCCATGCTCCTGCCTCCGACTGTGGCTCGCTTATCATCATAACAATAATGTTAAAGTGGCAAAATGGCAAACTATGCGCAAAATGCATAAAATTTATAGCCAACTGGCCTGGGCAATGGCAAAACAGATTTGTATTTGTTATTGTATCTGTATCTGTATTATTGGCCCGTGTTTTTTGTGTGTGTTTTTTTTGTAGTGAATTTCACGCTTCCGCTCTTGTATGAATCGCTGGTCAAAAGTTGGGCCCAAAACGAACACGATCACAATGGGACACATGCGGTGGCAGGAGCCGTTTCTGTTGTGCTGCCCATTGGATCAGTGGATCGACTTCTGTGGGGGATAAAAGTATCTCCAAGGGGGGGTTTTTCAAATTCGGGGATCTTCAGGTGAAAGGTGGCTGATTCAGAGATTTTGTATTAAATTAGCATAGGATTTTAAAAAATATTACCAAAAAAATGTAATTATACAATTATTTTGTAGAAGTATAAGGCAATGTAGAAGACAATTTTTTAATCGGACCATTTTTTAAAAAGTTATGAGCGAATAATATATTCAATATAATACTGCCCCAATAAATATAAATTAAAATAGTCTTTCCACCGAATTAAAACCATTTCAATTTCTCCCAATATTAATTTTACCTCGCCAATTTTCCCTGCCCAACCGCTTTCACCATCATTGCCATAATGGCTTTCCGCAGATTAATGCCAGTTCAATAACTCGAACATAGATCTATACTTAGCCGCGGGATATGGTGTATAATTGGTCATCTAAGAGCCACTCCCTTCGCATGCTTGGCGAAATGTAAACAATTAACTGGCAAATGCAAATATGAATGAAATTTTCCCCCACAAGCCAATTACTCAAGCCCCAAACCAGCCGAATCGTTGGAAAGCGACGAGGAAGTGAGCTGCCAATGAGCGTAAAAAGGCAAACACCTTGAAGCGCATAAATTAAACCGCATCGACAGGTCGGAAAAACTTGGAGGGGGAAAAACTGGGGAAACTATGGGAGTGAGCAGGGGAATTATTTTCAGATCCAATCCAGTTTTGGCTGCAGGCTGGCAAATCGAAGATGGCCAGAATATTGCGGATGAGTGGGCGCTGGCAATTGAGCCAATTGAAAGCCCACAACACGTATACGCCCCGTTGCACTTGACTGGCCATAACGATGGCTTAATAAATGTTGAAGTCTTAGGTTTTTTGTTATTTTTATACCCACACCCCCTCCACCATTAAATCGAACAAACCGCTAGACTAACTAATGAAGCGCACACGCATAACTTAAGACCAACCATTCGACATTTGTCGGGCTTGTTGTGGCATTTCGTATTAATAAAACACACATCCAAAATAATCAAGCCAGCGACGGACAAAAGAGCCAACTAATTTTTTGGAAGCGTCCAAAACTCGTTTTTAACACCTCAGGGGTGGAGCCACGCGATTGGTGCAAGCGAGACGGAGCACCGGGCGGGAGGGAGAGGGAATGACAGCCATCACAGAAATCAAGTCACAATAAAATGTAAATGTTCTCGTGTTTCGAGAGCGTCGAACATTTCGCTTTGGCGATTAATTAAAGACTCATTAAGAATTTGTTCAACTCGGGCGATTAATTAAAAGGCTGTTAAATGTGAAAGGGGCGCAAACAAAGCAACCGGCTATTTAAACAATTTAACTAATGTCCATCAAAAGACTGAAGACGCAAACCTGCTATAAAAATAATGGAAATATTTTACATTTGCATTCATTTTATTTACATAAAAAAATTATGCATTTAAATAACTGAAACAGTAATATAGTTTTCCTTTAAGCTTGTACAAATTAAGAAAAAAATACGAAAGACTGTACATTAATTTTTCCAGGAAAAACTTTTGAATTTAAAATTTCATACTGTTTAATATGCGTGAAAATTGTCGATATTTTCGATATATCGAAACTTCGATGTTTTGAAGAGAAAACACATATTTAATATCGACAAATAGCAAACATTCGATATTTTTAAGATCTAGTTACAAAATCTTTAAATGTTTATTTCAAACAGATTTGCAAAGTTTTTTATTACACATTATGGTGTATTATTTCGCTTAATTATATTTTTATAAATTTTTAAAGACAAGCTAAACATATTTGACCAGAAATGTAGCTCTAAACTTGGCAACATGGATGTACCGAAAATGTAAAATAAAAAAGGGGGATGACAAATGCCTTCGCTGGAGCTGTTGATAAATGCCCACAAGTTCGGGGGCTGTTTGAAAAATCGTTTGGCCAAAGATCACGCAACGACCAAATTGAAACGTCACCAGTCACAGGCGGGCAAGATTGTTATTGTTGGCCGACTGGTGCTGTTTCTCCATGAATATTAACACATTAAAATGGTAAACGTGGTTGAGTGAAAAATTAACCCAAAGCAGCCGAAATGTGGCTGCGGCTGCAGCGTAAATTATGCAAAGTCATCAAGTCAACGTTATCCAAACATCAATGGCCTGCGAGGCCTGGGAAAAAATTAGCATAAGCCAAGCGTTTCGACGGAATGAAGAGGAGCTCCTGCCCGAGGGCCAAAAGTGGCGGAAGGGAGGATTCACACACTCGGGAAAAAGTGAGGTAATATTTTTGAAATTCCTTCAGAAACTGGCAAAACTTCAGGAAGACTAATTATTTCTTTAATATTAATTAAAAGAAACATTTAACTTTTTAAATGGCGAAAATGCAAAATATTTCGATGGAATTTTGGATTACATTTTAGTTTGACATTCATTTTAAGAATTTAAGAAGACTTTAAAATGTTGTTTTTTGCGTAAAAAAAAATTATAAAATAATTGTTAAAATTACCTAACTTTAAAATAGGATATTTATAAAAATTTAAAAAAAAACAACTAAAATTTTGAAAGAAATTTAAAAAAATTGTTTTTTAGCCAATTTTTTACGTTTTATTGTCATGCATTATTTTAAAAAGGCCTAATAAGGAGATATTAACCATATTTTCAGCCCTTCAGACATTATACATTTTTAAAGTTAATTTACAGAACTATTTTTTCTTCGAGTGCAGGAAGCCCGAGTTAAGGAACAGGGAATGGCCCAGGCATGGCAGGAATGCCACATTGATGCAGTCACTTTGATAGCGCGACATTAGCAGCAATTTATATGCAAATGCAGCAGCGCAGGGAAAAGGAGAATGGGATGCAACGGCGACTACCACAAACTGATTGATGGTCTCATTTCAAAAGATGCCAAAGTGCGTAAGCCAAAATACATGGGGCCCTGGATGCAGGCAGAGATCGGGAGGAGCAGGAGTGGGCCATGTAGGCAGCATCATTAATGCGAATCATTAGCAGTGCTCGTTGATAAGATCGGGTGCAAATTATGCAGCAGTCGCAGCTGGAACAAAGCCCTCAAAAAGTGGTGGACTCTCCTCCTTTCTGGCCATGATTCATGGATCCTCGAGGGGCGGCGGTGAGTGCGTAATTTTTAATTGCCAATTAAAATTGCTCCAATGAAGATGTGAAAGCTGCCCCAAAAGCTAGAACTGGAAATCCTTCGTTCGTAATTAGGGGGAGGTCCTGAATTAACCTTATGGCATTTTGGCAAGGCTTTTTTAAGGGGGAAAACTGTAAGCAAAGTAATAGATTAGGGTAATTTACAGTAATTTTTAAATCAACTAAAAAATCATAAAAGCTAAACAAATATTCCCTAATTAATTAATTAATAACTGTGATAATAATACGCGTAATATCGAAATATCACAAGAAAAGTGGTTAACGCTCCACTTTCAAAATATGTATTCATTTTACCAGTTCGTTTTCGGAAGATTACTTAGTTAAACACCCAAAATATATTTTAAATTTTAAATAAATTATACTACTTTAAAAACTTTAATTGTTTATAGTTATTATTCGTTTGGTTTGTAAGGTAAAATTTTCATAACGTTTTGAGTTACGCGCGTTTTTTAGTATTTTTTTTTTCAGTATTTATAAGTCAAGGGAGTGTGGCCAGTAAACGAGAGACCAAAAATGTGAATTTTAGTATGCAGGGTGGAAATGAAAAATACCCTACTAAAAACAGAAGCCAAAAAAAAATTCGCAGCTGGAGAAGAAGGAAAAGCCATAAAAGTGTGGAAATGGAACCCAAATAGACCAAAGAAGCCACCAGGACCAGGATGAGTGCGGAGGAACAGACTAATCTGCTGCGAGTGCTGATCAACTGTGCGGAGAAGGCGGCCAATATAGCCAGGACATGTCGCTCCAACGAGGAGCTGCTGGCCCTTCTCGTCCAGGAGAAGAGCGGATCGGAGGCCAACGAGCGATTCGAGCATGACTTCAAGACCCTGGCCGATGTCCTCATCCAGGAGACAATCAAGCACGAGGTGGCAGCGCTCTTCCCCGCCATGCAGGATGCGATCCTGGGCGAGGAGTCGCCCAACTTCACCAACCAACTGGGCGAAAGTGTCACAATTGCAGTGGGATCAAGTGAGGAGGACACCGCCTCCTGTCTGCAGGCTGTCCTCAGTGGCCACGAAGGAGCGGCCAGTGCCCTGGCCAAGGAAGTCCACCAGGAGGTCAGCTTCACCAGCGAAAAGCTGGGCGAAATCCCTCAACTGCCGGAGGAACTGGACTACGCCAATCTGGGCATCTGGATCGATCCCATTGGTAGGCATTTACTAAAACTATATTAACAATATTATTAATATTAATAACAGATAATTTAAAGGGCAAGGTTCCAAAAACTTATAAAAATTGTTTCACTTTTTGAGACTGATTTAAATTCAAGTTCTTAATTTGTATACAATTAGAATTCATATTTCTGAAAAGAACCATATGCGTACTTCTTAGAATTTTTATATGTGGCACCGGATTGTTTTTGTTTATTTACTTAAAATGATTTACTATTAAACACAACACAAACCGTAGAACAAAACTTATTTACACATAAAAGAAAAAAATAATAAACTTCGCAAAATTAAAATTCACTACCTTTTGAAATTAGTTTAAATATTGTGTTACTCTTCATATTTCCTTTGATTTTATAATAATTAATAGACCTGGGATTTTGCATATTTTTCCATTTATGGTTCGATTTTTACCAAAATTTTTAGGTTTTATTATTTTTCTATTTTTTAAATAAATAAATTCAGATGCATATCGAAAATATACAAAATATATGCTTAAAATATGCACATAATATGCAAAATATGATAAATATATTTATCAACAACTAACATTCACCTAATATTTTTTTTTACTTTTTTTCCTGTTATTTTTTAATAATTAAACACCGCAAATAATTAAGAACTGCAAAATTAAAATGCACCTCCATTTGAATCTCTTCTTAAATATTGTGTTACTCTTCATATTTCCTTTGATTTTATAACAATTAACTACTAAAATTCACCTAATACTTTGTCCTCCTTTTCCTGTGATTTTTTAGTAATTAAAAACTTAAATTCACTAATATGTTGTACTCCTTTTCAGACGCCACCGCCGAGTACATTTCGGGCGACACCATGTTCACCGACTTTCCCGGCATCACATCCACAGGTCTGGACTGCGTCACCGTGCTGATTGGCGTCTACGAGCGAGACACCGGAGTGCCGGTCATCGGAGTGGTGGCTCAGCCTTTCGGCGAGAAGCTGGAGGAGAATGTGTACAGCTCCTCGATGTTCTGGGGCGTTTGCCTGCCCACATTGCAGGCCCACAACTGCAATTTCGAGGCGAGAGACGAGAACCGTCGGCTGGGAATCTTCTCGAGCTCGGAGCAATCCGATATCCTTCAGCGCTTCCTCGATCTGGGCTACGAGTTTGCCTTTTCCGCTGGTGCGGGCCACAAGGCTCTGAAGGTGATCACCCATGAGGTGGACGTTTATCTGCTAAGTAAGGGATCGACCTTCAAGTGGGACACCTGTGCTCCTCAAGCCATTCTGCGCGCCCTCGGCGGCGAAGTCCTCGATTATGCAGCCAGTGTGGCGGAGCAAAAGGCCGTACCGTTAAAGTACCTGATGGAGGACTCGGAATCCGATGCCGATTGGAAGCGAAATGCTGGCGGTTTGATCTCTGTGCGCGATGTCAATGTTGTGGAGGAACTGCTCGCCAAATTGTGCGAGCAATGAATGTTGTTTGTTATTGCTGTAATCTCATTATTGCTGTTGTAATTGACTCGATGTATGTATGACTTAGGGAGTGAGTCGAATTGTAGAGAATAGAATCATTGGTACAAAAATTAATCCAATTTATAGCCACAGAAAGTATAAATCCACTCATTATCCATATTCTCAAGCAAACTTTAGTACAAGAACGTATCTGCCTTATTTATTAAAAGAAATTTGAAATTTTCATTGTCCTTAACATGTGTGTTAAATTATGATTTTATTGCCCGCTTCTTCTAATGCGGCTAAGATAGTTGTAGATACGAAATTACCAACATGGTAGTCTTATTTTATCCCTCACAAATCGACTCTCTCTTATGCGCTTAAATTTACAAGATGTTTAAAAAAATATAAATTGTTAGAAAATGTGAAAAGAATGGTGTTAAATGATTTCTTAGGTTCCGTCTAGGAATTGTCTTTTACAACAAACACAAATGGTTATCAAAACCGTGTTCGAAAATACACTTTGGTATACACTTAATGCTAAAAACAGAAGGAATGCGATCCATGTTGTCAGTAACTAAAGTCGAAACTCACGTTAAATTAGGCAGTAGGTGAGTTTAGTATGTTCTGCAGATTGGGAATCGCAATGAGACGCGTATCGGGCTCTGGGCCATTCTTAACTTCACAAAGGAACCGGCTCTTGTGCACGAGATGATGTTCCAAGGCGGCGAAATTCTTCGATTTGTCAAAGCCTGAAGTTAAACGATTATTAGTACAAGGAAGGGGAATTAAACTGGGTAACGACATACCATCAATGTAGCACTTGGTGGCATAGACTCCATTCAGCAGATCCTTGGAAATCGGCTTGAGATTTGCCACCTCCACATATTCCCAGTTTCCAAAATCACAGTACAGAATCTTTGCCTTATTGTCCTTGATTTCCTGGCAAACTCCGCGATACCAGCTTTTGTCTTCACTAAAGAGCGCCAAGCAAAGTTCACCAACGCTGCAAGAAGTGAAAACAGTAAATAAAAGTATCCTATGAACATTTAATAGATCCTTACCCCGGCACATAGCCCGGCACAGCGTTGTGCTGGCACTCTCCCTGCTTGGCCACCATATTGAGCACATTCTGGAAATCCTCGGCCACCTTTCCGTTCTCAAAGAAGCAGGCGGTGATGTAGCCATTTTCCGGCATACCGCCAGCGTTCAAGAGGATAATGCTGACCTTGTCGCCCAGGGGAACCAGTTTCTTGGGCATGGCATTGAAAAAGAAGCGTTCGAAAGTCTCTTGATTGGCTGCCGCTCCGGAAAGAGGAGGAGAGTTCGGTGGCGAGGGCGGCAGTGGAGGCAGATCTTTGGCAGCCTCCAGGAAAATCGGTGCCGGCACCTTGCGTTGCTCTGGCGAGGCGGCAGGCGATGGTGCCGGAGTAAGAACTGCTTTTGGCGGTGCAACATCCGCTTTTTCCTCCTGCACTGGCGTAAACATGAGTGGCAGCATGCGAGTCACCAAGGAGCTCTGCTCGTGGGAGTTGGAAAGCAGGTCCACGGTCGACGTAGTCGCATCCACCATTTCCAGGTCAAGCAGTTCCATTTGGCCACAGAGCTTGTGCAACATCTGGATAGCCGCATTGTTGGCTGGCACAGCTGCATCCGGAATATTGCATACGGTCTTTAGCTGGACGCGCATCAGGCAGACAGGCAGATTCTCCAGGAAGCGACAAGATTTGCGCATTGCCGTTAATTCCAGAGTTTGGGTTGCACCCGTATCAACGTTCTTTACATTATAGACGCCGTCATCGGTGCTCAGTATCTGTAAAGATTAATAGGTTAATAATCTCGCTTACACACAAAACAAAAAAAAACTATGTAAAATCAACATAGAAAAATAGTATATTTCACAATTTTCTGAATTTTTTATGTATTTTGTTCTTTTATTTTTTGGGTCATTGGATAGTATTTAACAATTAAAATAGTAGAAAACCTATTTACGAAATTTGCATGTATTTCATTTGGCAAATTAATGGTAACGTCTCAATTAATATCGTAGCTATATAAATAAATAATAAATTAAATAGTTAAAAAGATAAATTTAAAAAAACAACAATTTTTTTCGTATAAAATACTATTTTGTTGGTCATCTACTATTTTATAGGTAATCCACTATTTTTTTTGGCCATTTTCTATTTATTATCGGTTGGGGAAGTTTTCACTATTAAATAGTTGATTTTACAATTTTTTTTTTTTAGAAAGGTGGTGTAACCTAGCTACTCACTTCGCCTCGGAAGGTTCCAGTCGCCTTGGAGGCCACCAGCACGATGCATCCAACGGAAATCTCGCTTGACTCCTGGACGGGCGCGCACTTCGACTCCAGACGCTTGAAGATCGCAGCATACTGCTTGCTATTCGGAGAGCTTATGTACACCTCCTTGTAGCTGACGACATGGGTGATGAATACGGCTGCGCCATTGTCGATGGGTTCGCGCCAGTACTTGTGGCCCAAGTCGGATATCTGACCCAGGAAGGTGCTCAGCCGGGCCATGCAAATCTGCTCGCCCTTGGCCAGCAATGCGCCGTTGACAGCGCGCAACTTTTCGGGCGGCGGATTATCCAACTTGAACTTGACCGTGAGCTCTGCACTGTGAGTCTCGAGCTCTTTTGGCACGGAGTCTTTAAGCTGAGCGGCAAACACACGGATGGGCAGGCCAAGTAGCTCGCTGGGAATCCGACTCAGCTCGTTGGTAACCGAAACTCGTCCCTCGTCCATCTCGTAAACCAAGAACGTGGGCGTGGGCTTAACAATGTGATCTAATAGGAAGGCTCTGCGATAGCCCTCCTTGGTGCGGGCGGCCACAAAGAAGGTGCACTTCTCCTCGGGAAAGGGTCCCGTGAACGGTTGTCCCGGCTTCCCGGCCAGACTGGCATTCAAGTCCGTGTTTACGTGATCCATCACGTTGATCTGCAGGAGAGCCACCTGCGGTTCGTTGCCTGTTGCATCCTTTTCAAACACCCGGATCACCCTAACCTCTGGATTCAGCTGCAACATTTCCATGGGCAGACTGAGTGGTATGGTCATCTTGGGCTTCAGGTGGACATGATAAACCCCATTGTGGGTTTTGGTTCCCAGCAAGCGGAGCGTCAGGTTCTTGTTGACCTGAACTCCAGTGTTCGTGGGCAATTTCACGCGGAAGGCGAAGGCCTTGAATTCGGCTATCTTGGGGACGACGGAATAGATATCCCGGTAGGGTGTGGCCACCACGGGGCCATAGTCAATCATCCGAATGTCGGCTAGTTCCTTCTGATCGCTGACACTCAGCACCTGACCGCGGTGCACCTTGTTGTCCACGCTGATGGCCACCAGGGTGTCCATCTTGACGTTTTGCAAGGGAATCAGCTTCTTGAGCTGCATACAGCGCTGCATGTTGTCCGTCAAACGCTCCATGCTCTCCACATTGGCCACGTGCACCACCCAGATGGGTCCATCGTTCTCCATGAAGGTCACGCGGCACTCGAAGAACTCCTCGCCTTTGGGCAAAAGATGATCGCGCCAATTCTCGGAGAGTTCGGGCACCTTCGGGACGACGGCAGTCGGTTCGGGAGTGGCCATGGGTGTGGAATCCGATTTCGGGATCGGAACTGGCGATTTGGTAGGAGCATCAGCCAGAGTTAGATTAGAGACAGCCGTCTCTAAGCTCTTGATGGGATTAGGCGGCTGCTGAACGAGCTGCGCCGGCTGAAGGGGCCTGTAAGCCACCAAGGGTCTAAAAAAAATATATTTCTTAATTAATAATCAATTAATATCAAATATTCTGAACATTTCAAAATTTCTTTAAAAATGTTATGGAATAGATTACACTTAGGGCCGTTTTCTCGTCCGTTTGACAATTTTAAAGTAGGGTTAAATACTTGAAATCGTATGGGAAACCAAAGATTAGGCATTATTAACACTTTTCCATGGAATTGCAATATTTTCCTGAAGTAGTCTTAATTTTTTCTTTACTATATTAAGAAAACATTTTATGGAAAATTTTTAAATTCATTATTTATTATTAATTATAATTAAATTATGAGCAATCCAAAATATCTTAAAAAATTTATGTTATGGCAAAGATTACCATTCTTAAATTAGGAAAAAATTAACACTTTTCCAAGGAATTGCAATATTTCCCGTAAGTAGTCTAAATAATCTTTCTTTACTATATTAAGGCAATATTTTATAGAAAATTTGTAAAATCAGTCCCATTTTACTGACCGTGAGTGTGCACAGTAATTAATATTTATAATAAAATGTAACTTAAAAAATTATTGTTGTTAGGAATGATACAAATATGGGGTATTTCAACATAAACTTATTTTCGCTAAATATTTCGAGGATACTTTCTCACAGTCCCATTTTTCTGACCGCGACTGTGCGTGGCGGCATGTCTTCGCATGCACACACTATTCTACGCATTAACTCACGGCATTATGATGCAAACGTGCTTGTGACGCTGCCAATCCAACCGCTGGCATCCCTCCTTGCAATAGGGCTCTCCGCACCGCTGGCACATCAACCCGGCCGGATTTCCACAGACCACACACGTCATTTCCTCCGAACTCGGCATTTTCCGGAATTATCAAACACAAAGTTCTAAAAAAAAAGCCGCGAAATGAGAGAAGAAAAGCACTTCACAAGAATGTATGAATGAACGAAGAAGCGAAAAGGAGGCCAAAGAAAATGGCGATCTAACGGAACTTTTTTTGGATCTGCGCGTAGTTGTAAAACAATGCGAAATTCAACGATTTGCGTCCACTTTTAATGTTTTTACTTTGAACTTATAAGTTTCTTTCAATCCGAAGTTTATACTTTTAAACGATCCGGCGTTATAATTAGTTAATTTAAATTTCAAGCTTCGGGAAACACGCGCTTCATCGCAGCGAACGGAGAAGAAAGAGGAGAAAGAAATCAGCTTTTGTCAGTCATCGTACATTTGATCTATCGTATATCGATAGTCTGCTATGTTTTCCAACACTGCAAATCAAATTTCTAGCTAGATTTGGCTAATTTTTTAATTTTAGACAACTAGATTTACATTTAAGTTCAACAAGTAAAAAGACAAATAATATTAGATACTACGTAGTACATTTAAATATTTATAAATATGAATTAGGCTTTTAATTATTTGCAAGTGGTAAACGATTTTAGGAGATAAATATTTATATTCTAGGAAAACATTTGAAAATATTTCTCTTTTGTCTCCTGAGAGTTACAAATCCTAGAAATAATTTCTTAATTAATTAAGAATTTAACTTTTTAGCACTTTTTTTTAGCAATAAATCTAGCTAGTTTAACGAAGCGAAATCTGGTCACACTCCTGCCCACCGTCATTGTTATCGATAATTCCCGCCTCTTCTGGGCATTGAGTGATTTTCGCGAAATATTTGTTTACCAATTGAATATTTTGTTAATAAGAGCCTTTTAGCGGCCTTGACAAGCAAGATGGCCAGTGGTTACAAGACGCCGCGAAAGCAGAACCTGAAATCCATCGAGAACCTTACCAACTCCGAAGACGATGAGGATTTGGACACGGCAATGGTGGAGGAGGATGTGGGCAGCAGACGTCGTTCCACCCGTCGTCCAAGTCCCACCAAGAAGTACCAGGCCTACAAGGAGCAGGCCAATGGAAAGGTGCAGGAGGAGCGCATAGTCGTCAACTATGTGGAGATGTCGGATGCGCAGAGCAGTGAGGAGCCGGAACAAGAAGAAGAAAGCAATGAGGATTCGGAGAACGCCGATCGTCCCACTTCCAAGGACCTGCATCTCATCCAAACCGACTACAATGTGGCCGGCACCAGCATGTTTGGCTTCAATACGCCCAAGAAACGCGATGCCATGGCCCTGGCGGCCCTAAATGCCACGCCCCGCACGCCCAAGACCCCAAAGACCCCGAAAACCCCACGTCTGGGGCTCAAAACGCCGGACACCAAGCGCAAAAAGCCCACGGATCAGCCAAAGACACCGGCCCATGTTCGCAGTCGCGTCAAGAATCGTGGGTAGTCCTTTTAGTCTACAATAGAACCCTGCGTGAATCATTCAATTTTTGTTTTATCATAATTTATTTCGATTTAAATCAGCGGCCGGCACACATACAATGATATTTTGTTTAATATTTGTATGAGTAAATTGCTCACTTAATAGGACGATGCCGAATGCTGATTTAAATGAATGAATTAATAATTTTTATAAATTTTTTAAATTCGCCAGGTTTTTTTTGTGCTTTCTTTCGAGAACAAAAAGTGGAGAATTTTCAACAAATCCATGTTAACTGCTTAGAAAATAAAATTCATGCAGATTTAATCACAAAATTATGGCCCTTTCTTCTTCAAAAGAAATTGTCATTTGAATTATTTCGGAATTAATGCCATTTATTCATTCAATTCTATTAAACTCAAAATTCTAATTGATTCATGCAGGGCACTAGTCTACATTTATGCATCAATAATACCTTATTATACCTTTCAGATATTGCCAAAATAGTGGCGGATTCGGATGAGGATTTCTCCGGCGACGAAAGCGACTTTCGACCCAGCGATGAGGAGTCCTCCGCCAGCAGCAGCAGCAGCAGTGGCAGCGATGCCGGCGACTCCTCCGCCGATGATGAGCCCAAAACGCCGGCTAAATCCCGTCGTGCCATTGTGGTGCCCGTTCTGCCCAAAACACCGTCGGCCGCACGGCTGCGACAAACGGCGCGGGCCAAGAAATCGAATGAGTTTGTGCCCGAGAGCGATGGCTACTTCCACTCGCATGCCAGCAGCAAGATCCTCACCTCGGATCACACCTTGGATCGCCTCAAGAATCCCCGTCTGGCCGCCGATCGCGTGTTTAGTTTGCTGTCCGAAATCAAGCTGTCCACGGAGCACGAGGCATCCATAAATGCCATAATGGAGGAGTATCGCTCGTACTTTCCCAAGTGGATGTGCATCCTGAACGAGGGCTTCAATATACTGCTGTACGGACTGGGCTCCAAGCGGCAGCTGCTGCAGGCATTTCACCGCGAGGTTTTGGAGAAGCAAACGGTGCTGGTGGTCAATGGATTCTTTCCCAGCCTCACGCTCAAGGATGTGCTGGACAGCATCACAGGCGAGATTTTGGACGCGGGCGTTAGTCCTGGCAATCCGCACGAGGCGGTGGACATGATCGAGGAGGAGTTCGCCCTCATACCGGAGACCCATTTGTTCCTAATCGTTCACAATCTGGATGGAGCGATGCTGCGGAATGTGAAGGCACAGGCGATTCTGTCGCGTTTGGCGCGAGTGCCCAACATTCATCTGCTGGCCTCCATCGATCACATAAATACACCATTGCGTTAGTTTTTAACCAGAAATTATACTGAAATTATACCAAATAATTAACTTTTCCCCTTTTTTTGCAGTCTGGGACCAAGGCAAGCTGAGCAGCTTCAACTTCTCGTGGTGGGACTGCACCACCATGCTGCCGTATACGAATGAAACCGCCTTCGAGAACTCCCTGCTGGTGCAGAATTCCGGCGAACTGGCCCTCTCCTCGATGCGCAGTGTGTTCTCCTCGCTGACCACCAATTCGCGTGGCATCTACATGCTAATCGTGAAGTACCAGCTGAAGAATAAGGGCAATGCCACATACCAGGGCATGCCGTTCAGGGATCTCTACTCGAGTTGTCGCGAGGCCTTCTTGGTCAGCTCAGATTTGGCGCTGCGGGCCCAGCTCACCGAGTTCCTCGATCACAAACTGGTCAAATCGAAGAGAAGTGTGGATGGCTCCGAGCAGCTAACCATTCCCATCGATGGCGGCCTGCTGCAGCAGTTCCTCGAGGAACAGGAAAAGAAATAAGCCAGCCAGCCAAGTAATTTTAGAACATATTAATTTATTATCTAATATTGTTAAATACAATTACAATTTCGCTTTTAAAAATGTTGTTGTCGTGTTGCTTGCACTTGTTTTGCCCATTAGTGCAGAGTTTCTTTCGTTCTTTGTTGTTGTCAATTTCTACACATTTAGATTGGCATGCATAAAAGTTCTTGGTTTACTAGATACACATTTTAGATGGCTAGTTTTGTTCTCCCCAAACTGATTTCGCTCCCAGAGCAACACAAAACTTAACACTCCAAGTGCTCCTCGATTTCGGGAATGACCTGACCGCAATTAGATTAAATTAGAGATTAGTTGAGGCGAAATAAATATGGCTAAGCAGGCCCAAATCATACAGCTCCCTAGCGGTCATCCCATCGTGCTCCCATCCCATCCATTCCAAAGGCTAATATCGGTTACCTATTACTATACAGACACGCACGTACACAGATTAAAGCATTGGACTTGTAACTAGGTAATTGTGCACTCGAAACAAAAGGTAATTGCTGCGACTAAGGCTAGTTTATTTACACTCTCTTGATAGCAAATCACATGCGAAGTCAATCGGAAGTACACATACAATGGAAATCGTTCATAGTTTGCTCCTATCAATATTAATTTACTTTATTGCAAAAATTCTACCCTTTCCTGAATACCTGAATTGTACACACCAAGTTTGCGATCTGCATTCTTTGCATCTGCATTCGCATATAAAAATGTAATCTCGTCTGCGCCGTATTTCATTTATATAATAGTTAGATAAATTGTTATCACGTTTACTTTACTCGTACTTTTAACCTTCGTTTGCGGAAAAAGTCGAAATGTTCTGAATCAATCAGAAGAGAAACCACCCATGAGAATCTCCCCTTTACAAAATGAATCGATGCATTTGTGGTTTTTTTGGGTTTTTTTGTTCAGTTTTTATCTGCTTACTATACACAAATTGCTACTGTTTGCTTTTATTTCGACAATGTTTTGTTTGTTTTCATAGTTTTGTACAACAAATTAATTACATTTTGCGCTTAAACAAAGAGAAACAAGTTTCCGATTTTAAATACTTAGGAAAAGAAAAGAGAAACGATAAAATTAGAGGTAAGGATAAAGGTAAATTAAAAGAAGTGAATTCAGCGATGAATATTGAAATATATAATATTGAAAATTATAACTTGGAGACAGTGGTAAACAATAAATTTATACATTCTCCTCAATTTCAAGGGGGAGGGCGTGGATTTTGGTGGGTGGGTGCAATTGCAATTAAACCTTGAATGCTTTGAAAATTGTTCCGAGTTTACATATACACAATATATAAATCAACTTCATTATCATATCCGTATCATTACTCATTTACTCGTTATTCATTAGTCATACTCATCGAATATACATCACAATCAAAGTGTACGCTTTGTAATTATACGCAGTAATCGGTAATCATAATCGTTATAATTATAATAATAATAATAGTTACGCTTTCTCAGTGAATTTCTTTATTTTGTTGTTGTATGTTTATGCCTTCGATTTTTTACTCTTTACTTTTTACTTTTTACTTTACTTTAAATTTAATTTATTTAATATTAATTTTCCGTTTTTGTTTTTTATGCTCTTTTTTTGTTTGTATTATTTATTGTTTTTTTCTTTTCTTCATTAATTGCTGCTTTTTGTTTCAAGTTGTGTTTGGACTTAAGATTAAAATTAATTCATAGTTATTACTCGTAAACATATTAATCATAGGTAATATTAAATCAACAAATAAAATACATTTAAAATCAAGTTTTATCAAATTGAATTAAATTACTTGAAATCGAAACAATAAACGGTGCTGCTTGCTCAGCTTTTGCTCCTGCACTTGCATTATCTTTCTGCTGTTGATATAATTTATTGAATTTATTGGGTTTGTAGTATTGCCGAATGCTCTCTTGAGGTTGACCGCCAATACATCGATCAAATATTTCACATGCCTGCTGCTGCATCGGTTGAAGTTCTCATTATTTCTATTGCAATTGTTGTTGAATCGATTGTTGGTATTGGTTTGTTGTTGGTTGTTGATTGTTGTGGGTGTACGGTTTTCTGCTGCTGTTGTTATAATTATTATTGTTGTTGGTGTGGTTGTTGCATTGTTGTTTCAGCTCATTTTCACGCGTTTCCTTGGTGGTCCAATTGGTGGGATTTGTTGTGTTGCGAGCGCACGAAATGCCTCCGCTATCAAATGTGAATGTGTTGTGATCATATTTTGCCAGCCGGAGGTTTCCATCACATCGGTGGCATGACTGTAAATTAGGTTAAAACCGATTGGTTAGTTAGTTAACTGGTTCTCGTTTGGTTTACTTTCAATAACTTACGTATTTATGAAATCTATCGTTTGTGCTTTCAATTGATCCGCACTGTGGAGATCAGCTAATATTAGTGTTTCGGCTGCTGTTTCTACAGAGAGATTGACGCACAGCGCCTCCTCGCACATCACTTTCAGCTTTTCGAGTGCATACTGTAAATATAATTAAAATATTTCATTAATAAATATATTACAATTTGGTTCGGGGGTAGACTCACCTTATCAGCAGCCGCTAGGAGATCATCAGCCATTTTTTCTAGATTGGGCGCCTTGCCCGTGTATATGAATCGCAGCATTTCTTTAAGAACCTCATGATCCACATCGGTTATGGCGACACGATTCAGCTTACGCTCCTCCATCTCATGCTCAAACATGGCCGCAAAGACATCGCTGCGCGCTGAAAATAAATTATAGAAAAATTAATTCAAATTCAATCAAGGAATAGATAAACAAATTATCAAGCATTCAAATATATTGCAAGAATTCTTTTTAAAATCAAATTTATAATTGTTTGACATTTTATAAAGAATTTTGTGTACAAAATATGCATTTTTTTTGAGCATGTATTTAATAGAAAAATAATTCAAATTTGAAAAATTAATTCAAATTTTATATATAATTGATTAAAATATAATCAAGCATTCAAATATAATGCAAGAATTAGTTTTAAAATCAAATTTTTATATTTTTGACATTTTATAAAGAATTTAGTGTACAAAATATGCATGATACTTATATATAATGGATTTTCCCATAATAAAATATTTTTTGAGGTGCTCTTCATGATATCTTACCTGCCAGTATGGCCTTGTGCGCCTGGAACTCTCGACCGCCCACGGAGAGCGTGACGTCGCTGAACTTCTCGTTGTCAAAGAGATTACCGAGATCCTCGGACAGCTTGCACTCGGGCACTTTGAACTGCACGATATTGGATTGTCCGGAGATGTTCACGCTGTCCGCCACGACGCTGACCTCGCAGAAGATGGTCAGCTTGTCTTCGGGCAGCAGGCCGTTGGCCTCGTCCAGCAGGAAATCGCGGCGGATGAACTTCTTGAAGCCCCAATCTTTGCCCTGCACAAAACGGTAAGCTCTGTAAGAAAATAATAATAATATTATTAGTAACTGATATTCAATAGTTTAGTTTACACTTACCTTTGGGATTCCATGGCTTTGGTTTCCTCACGCTTGGCATTCAATATGGAAAATTTGAACTTGGCTCTGACTTCTGATTTATTACACGAAACTAACAGTAAATATAATGAAAGGTAATCCTTGCTCTCCTCGTCGAGACCCTTGGGGTTAACCCGTAAACACCTGGTAATAGAAAATTCAATTTAATAATTTGTTAATTAATTTGTTGTAATTCTGTTTACTCACCATTTCAGTTTGTCATTAGCACCGGCTGAGAATGTGGACGATTTGAGTACTTCACCCATCTCCTCCCGACAAAAACTAAAGTTATTTATGGTCCACATATAACTAAATTTAACCACTTTGACCTAAGGATGCGGAAGAAAGAAACGATGTAAAGGGTTAATAATATTATCCCATGTATTATCTATCCAACCAGCTGTACCACCACCTGTACCTGCGCATTCACAACGGAAATGCATTTTACCGGTTTTACAACAAAATGGATTCAGTTTACACAAATTCGTGAAATCCGATCGGTTTTGGTTGGGCTCAGTTGGTTTGCAAATCCATAGGAATGCCGAAAAACCCAAAGGAAATTTAATCCATTTCGGGGGGATTTACCTGCGTATAACACCAGTTCTCGGCGACTGGCGTATTAACTTCCGGCAAGGGCGGCGAGGGTACACGGCTGACCGCCATCGTGCTACTGGATGCGTGCAGGTTCGAGGTGACTCTAGCTGTTTGGCTTGCCTGACATTCGTTCACCGGCAATCTGCAATTAGATTAAGGAGAAATAGTAGGGATTAGTTGGGAATAGTTTAGAAATAAACAGTTCTAATATATAAAAGTCGTACGGTGGTTGGAAAAAATAATCCATTGTTATAGCCTACTAGGTTCCTATACAAGTAAATTGGTATAAGAGCATATTTGAAATTTAAATTTATTTTTCTTAAATTCATATAGAATCTAAGGGTCACCTTGGCTCTTGTATGAGATCCATGATGCTGCGCTCGAATTCAACTTTGACGAAATTGCTGTCGGAATTCGAGTGCCTGGCCAAAAGATTGAGCAGCTTCAACAGCAGCGAGTTCTCCAGCTTGCCGCCCGTTAAAAAATAACACACACAAAATCACACAGAATACAGACACTATTTAAAATTATTCTATATATTTTTTAGAGATATTTGCTAATTAAAACGATGGTCGAGACACAAACGCATGGACAAGACGAAACGTAATGCGCCAAAAAGTGCAGCGTTCATAATGGCTGATAAAATGGTTCGAAATCCGTTATTCCGCACAGAATAATCAGAGATTAACAGAGAACGAGAGATTTAATCCAGATAAAGATGAAGCTTTCGAAGCTTTTCAGAAAACCGTTCAGAGATTGCCGAAAACAAAAAATAAAACGTTAACGTTCAAAATATCACAAGAAGAAAACACACAACCGTTGCGCAGGAGCAGCGGAGGAAAACTGACTGATGGACCTGGAAAATCTCGGCAGGAAGGAGGATTTAAGAACGCTGCAGATGACAACAAACAATGGACCAGGAAAATGTTGGCCAGGAGTGGAAAATTGACAAACAATGGGTCAGCCAGCCGTTGAGGGTGAAGGTGAACGTGAGCTGTGAGCTGCGAGCTGCTCGCTCACCTTATAAAGTATAAAGGTGCAAAATAAAGGTGAGCGGAGTGCGGAGAGCGGTGCGGGGGGAGGATGATGGGCAGGAGCAGGAGCAGAAGGA